AGGAGCGTGCGCGCACACACACACCCCTCTCTCTTGCTTGCCACTTTCCTGGACAGCAGCAGGGATTCCTCCCACACAGGCCAGGTAGCCCCAATGAGGCTGTGAGTTTCTCAGCTCTCCTGCTTTTCCCACCCACCCAGCAGCATGAAGGTGTGGTCGCCCTCTCCTCAATGAGATACAAGGGTTCCAGAGCCTTCGCCAGGCCCCAGCAGGTCTGAATGAACTGGAGGTTCCATGATTGTCATCCATGGTGCACCTGGGCAGAGCACAAGGGGCCAAGTTTGAATGTCATCAGCAGGTTCAGACATCAGTGCTGCACATGTCTTTAGAGACTGTTTGGAGGTGGTTCAACTCACTGTTCAGATGCAGAGACAGAAGTCCAGAGAAGGAGGACTCACCAAGGGCACATGTGAGCTGTGACAGAGCCCTGCCCCTTTAGGTGGCTACACGGACTTCAGCGGGTGGCTACACAGACTTCAGCGGTTTGTTCAAAGCCTTGCCCTCGGCGACCCCTCGTCAGTGACCAGTCTGCCTCTTGGATCGACCTCCTGGGCCTTGTCAGTCAGTCCACATGGCCCAGCCCTCATGAAGCCCACACTGGCTGTGGCCGGGGTCTAGATTCTAACGAAGCCAATCCTTTATTTGCCTGTTTGGTATTTCCTAAAACATCCCTCAATGAGGGAGGAAGGCAGGGATGCCCTGGAAGGATTCATGCTTTCCTTTGGCGGGGGGAGGTAGCAGGTAAATAACAAGATGCGTGAGGAGTTGGCACTTGTCCAGAGAGAGGAGCCTGGATCCCAAGGCTTATCCTGAGAGGAGGCCCGTGAGAGGCTGAGGAAGTCGGGGTATAACCCTCTGGTGCAGTGGGGAGGGTGAGACCTCACATTGGCAAATTCAGGTCTGGCCACTTCCAGAGGCTGCTGGGTGGAGCTGTACCTCACGGCCCTCCTCTGTAGATAGTCTCCCTGGGCTGAACGCTCCTCAGGAAAGGCTCTGGGTGGGTCTCAGTGGGAGCTGGCAGCCTTGCCCTCTGGCCCTGACTTGACCTCTCAGGGTATTCCTGGGACTCTCTCTGTCCCTGGTCTTCATCTTCCTGAAGTTTCCCTGGGAGGCCCAACATCCTGCCCTGCTCAGGGTCAGAGGCTGGCAGAGGAGCCGGCCTACCGGAAGGGAGCTGCTGAAAAGAATTTTTTGCCCTTAATTTTATGAACCTCTCCCTCTTCTTCCTCTAATTGTGACCGTTTCCTCTGTCAGCCTGTATTCATGTTTTCTTGGACATCTAACAATTGAAACAGCTTTTCCCTTTCAGAAACACTCGCATTCAGGTTACTGGCATTGGTTTGGTTTTTGTTTTGGGTTTTTTTTTTTTTTTCATCTGCTGCCAATTAGTGGGGGAAAAATTGGGCTGGATTTCTTTGAGAGAAAAGAAAAGCCCCTGCCACACAACACTGCACCCTCGGCACTTGCCTGAGAACCTCCAGCTCTAGCGGCTGTTTCTTTCTCTCCCTTCTTTGCTGGCTTTATTATTGACCATAATGCCCTGGCCACTTGAGCAGCTCTGTCCTTGAGCACCGAGGAGTCAAGGGCCCTTCTGGCAGCCCCCTAAACAGGATGGCCCCCACAGAAAGAAAGGAGGCTTTGTGGGGGAAGAGGGCCCAACTGCCTGCCGGTCCCATCCTGAAGTGAGAAGAGTGGCCCAGGCTGACACTGTCCTGGAGAGAGGCTCATGGCGCAGCCTTTGTGGGAAAGGGGTGCGACGGCTCCCAGCCTTCAGGAGGGCAGGCCCTGCTCTCTCGGGGCAGCTGCGGGCTGGGGCCCCTCTGTGGCCTGAATGTGAGCTGGAGGGAAACCTGAAGCAGCTTCCCACAAGGCATCCGGTCCACAGGGTGGAGCCCGAAGGCTCACTCTGTCACATTCCCAAAACCAGCAGCCCCCTTGGTAAGATTCTGAACATGAAGTTCTAGTAGCTCCTTAGACTCGCTCTCAGAAGTGGTGATGTCACGGACCAAGGGCCTGGCAAGGACTGACAGCCAGGGTCACCATTTGCTCTTGCAGCCCTAGGGACAGTGCATGTAGAAACCCTGCCAGCAGGGTAGGCTGGCATTTGGCATTGGCCCACAGATACCATGAAGGGTCCTGGCTGAATCAGGCAGCTGTCCAGCCAACTGCCATGCCTGTCCCTTCACCCTTCCAGACTTGGTGACCAGTGAAGACCAAATCCGGCAAGCTGTCCAGAGGGAGTGCAGGGCCCACAGTCTTAGATGTGGGTGCATGTCCTGGAACCTCATGGGGACCTATTCACAGGCGCCCTCGGGACACAGGTGTCCCTTTGCCATTCCGCCTCCCTCCTTGGGCCTCTTTGTATCCCACTGGGAGCCTCAAACCAGCCACCTAACATTCCAATTCTATGTGACACACTGTGTAATAATGAATATTTAATGAGAAGCTTTTAATATACTACAAGTATCTCATTTACCTTTTGGTTTGGTTTGGGTTTTTTTTGTTTTTGTTTTTGTTTTTTGAGACAGGATCTTGCTTTGTTACCCAGGCTGGGGTGCAGTGGCAAGATCTCCACTCACTGCAACTTTTTCCTCCCAGGCTGCGGTGATCCTCTCACCTCAGCCTTCCATGAAGCCGAGACTACAGGCATGCACCACCATGCCCAGCTAATTTTTTTAAAATTTATTTTATTTTATTTTAAGATGGAGTCTCACTCTGTCGCCCAGGCTGGAGTGTAGTGGTACAATATCACCTCACTGCAACCTCTGCCTCCCAGGTTTAAGCGATTCTCCTGCCCCAGCCTCCCGAGTAGCTGAGACTACTGGCATGCGCAAGCATGCACAGCTAATTTTTGTATTTTTAGTAGAGACGGTTTCACCATGTTGGCCAGGATGGTCTCGATCTCTTGACCACATGATCTGCCCACCTCGGCCTCTCAAAGTGCTGGGATTACAGGTGTGAGCCACGGAGTCTCGCCTAATTTTTCTATTTTTAGTAGAGATGGGGTTTTGCCATGTGTGCCAAGCTGGTCTCAAAACTCTGGGCTCAAGGGATCCTCCCATCTTGGCCTCCCCAAATGCTGGGATTATAGGCAGGAGTCACTGTGCCCAGCCACACTAGTGTCTTGTTTAAATGCGCCTTGAGCATGCATGTTTTATTTTGTTTGTTTAATGCAGCCGTGTGCCCCAGGATTCTAGCTGAACTGCCTTTGGCTTGCAAAAGCTGAGCTCTTGCCATCAGCTTCCAAAGGTGGATTGTTACAGATAAAAGCAACCTTTTTACTTCCTAATTATGAAGAAGAGAGAGGCCTAATGAACTCAATGGAAATACATGAATTTGTTTAGCAGATATTTGAGTGCCTACTGGCCCTCAGGTCTGGTGGATACAGAGGTGAATGGGACTCAGCCCCAGCCCTCATGAAGTTTCCAGTGTGTAAAAACAGTCCAAGGAGCTGTGGGATCCCAGATGAGAGGGAATTGAATCTGCTTGCAGCAGTCATGGAAAGTTGGGCCTTGGGGGATGAGTAGGGGTTCAGCAGGGAGCCTGGTGGGGTGGATGGTCTGCGCAGAGGTAACAGGTGGTAGATTCATCAGGGAGAGTCCATCAGAGCCTGGGGTGGTACAGCCTGCCTTGGTGGGAGGCGGCCAGACTCCTGGGATTCCAGGGACCTCATCCCAAGGAGGCAAAAGAATAGGGCAGGGCGAGGAGAGAGTGTTCATCTCCTCATGCCTGAAGTAACTTGGTCTCCCCAAAGACAGGAGCTTCTGGCCTGTTTCCTAGGGGAGCTGAATCCTTAAGGAGAGAAAGGCAGGACATGAGTCTTGGCATGAAATCTGCCATTGTTTGCCACCATCACCATGATGTAATCATGATGACAGCATTATGCAGCCCCAGGTCCACCTGGGAGTTCTGTGCCCAAGCCCCTCCTCACCTATACCCAAGGGGGGCACAGAATTCCCCAGCATGTTGGGGCCTGCTCTTGAATGATTCCCCGACCAACCCCTGTCTAGGAACTTACCTGACACTCTCCTCCCTCCTTCCTCCTTTTCAAGAATGTGGCTGTCTGTCTTCCCTGCTGGCCCCCTTCCTCCCTGACTCCCCAGGACTCCTGGCCTTTGGTTCACCTCTCCTTCCCCCTGTCCCCCCATCCCACTGTCCCAGAATCCACACCTCCAACTGCCGGACTCCCTTACAACATTGACACCAACACCCCTGTGCCCTAACATACACGTGCACGTGCGTGCACACACACACACACACACACGCCTGGGGAACACCTGTGCTCGGGGAGGGCAAAGCCCTGGCACATGGTCCTGGTGATGGAAAACATCCCTGAGCTTGGAGCACCGAGGAGCCACAGGCAATGCCAGTGCTCTGCCACCAGGAATTTCCTGAAGGTAAGGAGAAAAGGTCACCTCTACACTGTGTTATGCGTGATGGTGGTGGTGGTTGTGGGTATTTCTGTTTCAGTTCAATTTAACACATATTGAGCATGAAACAGACAGGACAAACTGGTGACCAGGAGCAGGAGACTGAGCACAGTAAACTCCTTCCTTATCAGAGTCCACAGGAAGTGGTGGGCTGCCAGATGCTTTAATCCTGCACAGATACCCAGCAGGGCAGCCCAGAAACAGAGGACCAGCCAGGGACAGAGGCATGCTCAAGGCCACACAGCAAGTCCGTCTTCACATGCCTTGAGAGTGACCAGGTCCAAGGGTCACCTTGGCCAGTGCAGCTCTGGGAAGACTAGGGTAGGGATGGGGGATTCTTCTCAGAGTCGATGACTCATTTTTTTTCTCACTGGCTCCCCACCTGATTGGGAGCATCCCAGGCCTGTAGTGACTGGTGTCATCCCTGGATTGGGGGACAGTTTCCAAAGCCATGATCTGACCAAGGTGGCAGGAAGTCAACCAGTGTGACTCTAGTGCCCTCGTGTGGTTTTCTTTAGTATTGAAGCCAGTCCCAGGGAGCAGGAATGCAGCCTCCAGGTCACCCTGTCAGTTACAGAAGGAGAAACTGAGATCCAGAGAAGGAAGACGCAGGTGTGTAAACAGATAAATGGCAGGCAGTGATGGGTGATGGGTGCTCCAGCAGAAGGGACAGCAGAAGTGGCATCTGAGCTGGACCTCACATGCAGGAAGTAGGGGCATCCTGGGCAGAGGCAACAACTTCAGCAAGAGCTGGGAGATTCCCTCTGAATCCCGATCCAGTGCTTTTCCCACTGCATTCTACTCTAAAACGCACCCATTCATGCCCACTGGAAGGGAGGTCAGGCTGAATCAGAAGGGCTCAGTACAGAACAATTTTATGCAATATTATTTCAAAGTTACTGACTTCCAATTATAAAATTAACATGTACTGTGGCCCGGTGCAGTGGTTCGCAGCTGTAATTCCAGCACTTTGGGAGGCCAAGATGAGTAGATCACATGACATCAGGAATTCAAGACCAGCCTGGCCAATGTGGCAAAACCCTATCTTTACTAAAAATACAAAAATTGGGCCAAGCGTGGTGGTTCATGCCTGTAATCCCAGCACTTTGGGAGACCGAGGCGGGTGGATCCCGAGGTCAAGAGATCGAGACCATCCTGATCAACATGGTGAAACCCCGTCTCTACTAAAAATACAAAAAATTAGCTGGGCATGGTGGTGCGTGCCTGTAATCCCAGCTACTCAGGAGGCTGAGGCAGGAGAATTGCCTGAACCCAGGAGGCGGAGGTTGCGGTGAGCTGGGATCGCGCCATTGCACTCCAGCCTGGGTAACAAGAGCGAAACTCCGTCTCAAAAATAAATAAATAAATAAATAAATAAATACAAAAATTAGCCAACCATGGTGGTGGGCGCCTGTAATCCCAGCTACTCAGGAGGCTGAAGCAGGAGAATTGCTTGACCTCAGGAGGTGGAGGTTGCAATGAGCCATGATATGCTACTGTACTCCAGCCTCGGCGACAGATCAAGACTCCATCTCGAAAAAAAAAAAAAAAAGTTTGTACTTGTGGCTGGCATGGTGGCCCACACCTACAATCCCAACTCTTTGGAAGGCTGAGGTGGGCAGATCACTTGAGGCCAGGAGTTTGGGACCAACCTGGCCAACATGGCGAAACCCCATCTCTACTAAATATATAAAAATTAGCCAGGTGTGGTGACAGGCACTTGTAGTCTCAGCTACTTGGGAGGGTGAGGCAGGAGAATCGCTTAAAGCCAGGAGGCAGAGGTTGCAGTGAGCTGAGATTGGGCCACTGCACTCCATCCTGGGTGACAGAGCAAGACTCCATCTCAAAAAAAAAAAAACAATTGTATTTGTATTAGGGAAATTTATATTTCAGGAAAATACAAAGAAGAAAATAAAAATTACCCTACACTCAAAGAACAGTACATTAACGTTCTGAAGTATCTCCTCAGTCTTTTTCTCTATGCATATATATAATTTGTTTTGAGACGGAATCTCACACTGTCACCCAGACTGGAGTGCAGTGGTGTGATCTCAGCTCACTGCAACCTCTGCCTCCCAGGTTCAAATGATTCTCCTGCCTCAGCCCCTGAGTAGCTGGGATTACAGGTGCCCACCACCACCACACTTAGCTGATTTTTTTGTATTTTTAGTAGAGATGGGGTTTCACTATGTTGGCCAGGTTGGTCTCGAACACTTGACCTCGTGATCCACCCGCCTCGGCCTCCCAAAGTGCTGGGATTACAGGCGTGAGCCACTACACCCGGCCCATATATAATTATTTCAAATAAAATTGGGCTTAAGCTATGTTTACATAGTTCTATAGCTTCCATCTTCCACTTAGCATAGTATCATGTCCCTTTTCCTCTGTTATTAAATCTCCTATAATATGATCTTTTATAGCTGTATGATATTTGCTATCTTAACTTATTCAAATTTTTGTATAACCAGCTCTGTGGGGAATTGTTCAGAAATCTTTATCCATATTTCTGGCTTCTTGTAAGGAGAAATTCATAGATGGGGCATTATGAGGTAAAAGGCTAGGTACATCTTCAAGACTTCCTGTCCTCCAGGGATGTATCAGTTCCTCTTCTGCTGCTATGTCCGGGAGTGCCCCCACAGATAAGCTGTCCTGTTACCTTTAAAGACTTTTCACAACTTGGACTTTGCCTAAAACATGAGACATACTATAAGCAGTTTTTCTTCATCAGGGACAGCATGAGTTCAGGATACCCATGGGGTTGGACAGGAGACTGGCCTCTGCATATAGGGTGAGCAGTTGTCCCTGTAAGAGAAGCTTTCCAGGGTGCAGGACTCTAAGGGCTAACAATAGGATGGTCCCAGCAAGCCTGAACAGTTGGTCTGTTACCCTGGGAGCAAGCCCCTTAGCTCCCATTCAGTAGACCCTCCCTCTGCCCCTGTGAGAGAAAGAGCCAGAGTCAGGAGCTAGAGCTGGAGCTGGGGCGGTGAAACCCAGAGGAGCTCAGAAGTAACCCTGCCCTTCTTGGGTCCAGGACACAGGTGAGCAGAGAAACAGCCATCACCCAGCGGGTGGAAGGGGGGCACAGTCTAATTTCATCCCTTTCCAGCTGTGCGAACTGGGCAAGTTGCAAAAGCTTCTGCTTCCTCTGCTGCAAAGTAACACAAAAGCAGCAGCCTCACGGGGGTTATTGCAAAGGTTAGATGCAATGTTGAATGACTGCCCTTGGTAGGGCTTAGTGTCATCAACCTTCAGAGGTCAGCTAGGATGAGAACAAGGTGTGATGGCAAAGGCCAGTATAGCCACAGAATTTCAAAGGAAAGAGGGACTAGGGTGCCAGAAAGGCTTCCTGTGGGAGGAAAGAAACGGAGTCTATTTTACAAAGAAAAAATGCTCCAGCCCCACTGGACATCTCCTGAAGTGAGGATTACAGCTCTTAAGCTCCTCTTCCTCTACAGCTGGAAGTCCCAAAACAGTGCTCACAGAGTTCTCTCCATCCGCTCTCTCAGCATCTTCTAACATCTCCTCTTTCTCTGTTATTTAAATTAATTCTAACACACTATAGTTATTATCTAAATAATAAGCATCTGTTGTGTTTACCATTTAAATAATTACATTTATTTATGTCAATATTAAACCTATTTCTTGTCTTTATTGTTTAAATGTTAAATCTGTGCAGCAGTTTTATTCTTTAAATATTAAACATGTATCGTGTTCGTTATCCGTTGTGTGTCTCCACCCACTGGAACATAACCAGAATGCAGACTCCACACAAGCAGGATCTCAGACAGCTCCTGGCATACAGTAGGTGCTCAGTAAGTATTTGTTAGCTGAAGTAACAATGATAAAAGATTCTACCTGTGATGGGCTGACTCTACATGCACCTCACATTGTACATGCATTGGTCTCCCACAGTGAGAGCCCTGCTGTGCAGATGAGAAACTGAAGTTCAGGCCTGGTGTGGCAGCTCATGTCTGTAATCCAAGTACTTTGGGAGGCCAAGGAGGGAGTAGCACTTGAGTTCAGGAGTTCAAGACCAGCCTGGGCAACATGGCGAAAACCTATCTCTACAAAAAAATACAAAAATTAGCCAGGTGTGATGGTGCACACCTGTAGTCCCAGCTGCTTGGAAGGCTGAAGTGGGAAGATCACTTGAGCCAGGAGGTGGAGACTGCACTGAGCCAAGATCTCGCCACTACACTTCAGCCTGGGCAACACAGTGAGACCCTGTCTCAAAATAAACAGGCTGGGCATGGTTGGCTCAAGTCTGTAATCCCAGCACTTTGAGAGGCTAAGACAGGCAGATCACTTGAGGTCAGAAGTTTAAGACCAGCCTGGCCAACGTGGTGAAACCCTCTCTCTTTACTAAAAATACAAAAATTAGCCAGGCATGGTGGTGGGCACCTGTAATCCCAGCTACTTGAGAGGCTGAGGCAGGAGAATTGCTTGAACCCAGGAGGTGGAGGTTGCAGTGAGCCGAGATTGTGCCACTGCACTCCAGCCTGGGCAGCACAGTGAGACTCCATCTCAAAAAAGAAAAAGAAACTGAGGTTCCGAAAGGTGAAACGATGTTAGGAAACGTAAAAGTTGGATTTAGTGGTGGAGGCTAGAGAAAGGCTACAGCCCAGAGGAAAGTGGAATCTAGAGAGAAATTGCATGGTGCCATCTACCCCAAGAACAAGAGAGAAGTATGGCATTTTGAGTCCCTGAGTGCCACTGCCCCCTCCATACCTGAAGGAGAATGAGCTTCCATCACATTGGATCTGCCATCATGGGGAACCTTCCTCAGGGTCTTGGAGCATGGTCACCAGGAAGAACCCTCATCCTGTAGATGGAAATATTGAGGCTGGTGAGGGGCTCTCCAGTGACCTCACTAGGAAGTGGTGGATCTAGGATGCAAACCCAAGTATTCTGACCTTGCAGAATCGAGTTCAGTGTTTCCCAACTTGCCTGACCATAAGGGTTACACATGGTTCTTACAAAAATACAAATTCCTAGGACCTCTGCTTGGCGATTTTTATTCAGGAGGTCTTGGGTGAGCCCTGGGAGCCTATATTTTTCACAAGTTTTCCAGGGGTGCCTTATGATGAAGGGGCTCAGGAGATACTCCCCCGGGGTCAAGGCCAGGCTGCCCACTGCCCTGCAGCTCACCATCCACATGGGCCTTTGAACAAGTGCCAGGAAAAAGGAAAGCATCGACTATCACACTGCACATCTGTGACTAGCCCCAGCCCCAAAAACAACAGGAGTGGCAGAGTTGCAGCCTCCTCTCTCACTACATACAGAACTTAGATCATGGGACTTCTTTGAGGTCACAAAGAATGTGAAAATCAGAGGAAATGACATATTGTGTGGCTGCTTGGGAAACCCACAGAGTGTTGTGCAAATGCTTCTTGTTTCATTGACTTGGCCCTTGCTAGGTAAAAATGTGTTTGCATTTCACAAGTATGTGTCACTCAGACAACAAGTAAGGTGTCCCTGATCTTACCCAGAGGTCAGCAACCTTTCTGAGCTCTGAGCCAGGGACATGAGGTTTGCCTGTGGGTGTGCTGGGAAAGAAAGCAGGGGTATGGAAATTATGTTAGGGAGAAAGAGCCACCCGGTGTCTCCCTTGTGTGGGTTTTTTTTTTTTTGTTTTTTTTTTTTTTTGAGGAAGAGTCTCTGTCACCTAGGCTGGAGAGCAATCTCCTGAGTAGCTGGGATTATAGGCATGTGCCACCACACCCAGCTAATTTTTGTATTTTTAGTAGAGACAGGGTTTTACCATGTTGGTCTTCGAGCCCCTGACCTCAGGTGATCCGCCCACCTCAGCCTCCCAAAGTAGCTAGGATTATAAGCGTGAGCCAGCGTGCCCAGCCGTCCTTTCTTATACACTTTTTTCCATCCCATGCTTTTTCTGGAACCCACCTTGTTTGAATCCTAGTTTTCCTTTACGGATCACCTTTTCCAAGTAGCCTTCCCTGATTACAGCTGGTACAACTTCCCTCTCCCATCAGCACTCATAGCACTTGGTATGTGCAGATCTCAACCAATGCTGATCATTTCTCCTTAGGACTGTTTCCCCTCTGGGCTGCAGGCTCATTCACTCACGCATTCCTGAGCCCTGCAGGACCCTGTGTTTCAAACCACAGGTCACTATTACTGGTGGGGATGTCAATTTAGAGCTATTATTTCCCAAAATTGCCTGAGAGGAATCAGCTAGGGCTAGTGTTAAATATACACAGGCCAACTGGCCTCTCTCCTGGGAATTCTGATTTAGTCTGCCTTGGAACTGATGATATGTATGCTGGGTTTTTTTGAGATAGAGTCTAACTCTGTCTCCCAGGCTGGAGTGCAGTGGTATGATCACAGCTCACTGAAGCCTCAACCTCCCAGACTTAAGCAATCCTCCCACCTCAGCCTCTCAGGTAGCTGGGACTACAGATGTGCACCGCCATGCCTGGCTAATAATTTTATTTTTTAAAGATAGGGTTTCACTGTGTTGCCCAGGCTAGTCTCAAACTTCTAGGACCTAGAATCTAAGTCAATGCTTTTCAATCTGTAATGTGAACACAGCACACCTGGTGAACTTGTTAAATACCAATCCTGGTTTACTCGGGCCAGAAATCTTCATTTCTAACAGACTTCCCAGTGACTCAATGCTGATGCCGTTAAGTATATGGCCCTCAAGTAGTTTGGCCAAATTCAAGAGAGTGTTATTTTCAGGCACATTGGGAAAGCAAGAATTGAGGGCTGTTCTCAACCTCAGCACACCTGGGGAGCTTTTAAACTACACTAAGGTTCAGGTCACACTGCAAACCAATTAAATCAGAACCTCTGCGGGGAAGGGAGCGTGGGAGTTGTTGTGTTCTTTTCAAAGCTTCTCAGATCATTCATTTTTTTTTTTTTTAGACAGAGTTTCACTCTTGTCACCCAGGCTGGAGTGCAATGGCGCGATCTCGGCTCACCGCAACCTCCACCTCCTGGGTTCAGGCAATTTTCCTGCCTCAGCCTCCTGAGTAGCTGGGACTACAGGCGCGCACCACCATGCCTAGCTAATTTTTTGTATTTTTAGTAGAGACGGGGTTTCACCATGTTGACCAGGATGGTCTCGATCTCTTGACCTCATGATCCACCCACCTCGGCCTCCCAAAGTGCTGGGATTACAGGCTTGAGCCACCGCGCCTGGCCTGCTTCTCAGATGATTCTAATGTGAAACAGGGCTAAGAATCACTGATTCGGTGGGTCCCCACCACTGAAATAAATGAATGGGTAAATGCAAGAGAACAAACAATCCCACAGGCTTGTGGGGTAAACCCTGGGTCTCCTTTATGTGATAAATACAGATGCATGTGAGTTCCTGGATCAAAGCAGGTTTGGACATGAGTGAAGCAGAAAGGGAGAAGGTCCTGGAGTTCACAGACCAGCCATGGGGAGAGACCTTAAGAACAGGGGATGGGACCAGGGAGGGTGGAGCTGATAGCACTGGCGGCTCTGCAGCAGGAGGTAGTGAGGTCAGATGGGGTAGCAGTGACCAGAAGCCTCTGAACTGAGCCATAAAAGAGGAACAGGACATTGTCATGAAGCAAGCAAGACCTTTTAGGCCCAGAGGACAAAACATCTGCAAGCATAGGGGCGTGAAAAGAATGCACAAGTTCAGGGAAGGGAACGCCAAGTGGCTGGCTGGCCCTTTGCCATTTGGTACCTTTGCCAGGGGTGTGAAGGGGAGTGGCAGAGATTGGCAATGATTGCAGGAACCTGGGAAATGTGAGCCGAAGAGAAAGGAAGATCACTGACCCCTTGTCAGGGAATGACCTCAGGTGACCTTATCTGGGCAGAGCCACTCACAGTAGCTGAGATTCCACTGACAGTTTGGTTAAGGCTGTTTTCGTGCACCTAAGAGCCCATGAAGTCTGAGGGCACCAGACAACTTTCTAGAAAGCATTTTTTGGGGGGAGGAGTGGAGGGTGATGAAGCAAAGATCCACCAGCAACATTCCTATGATCCTTTCCCCCAAGAATCCAGGTCCTCCCTTCCAACAGCTCTGCTCTCCACCCTCATTTTGTTTCAGCAAACATGTTCTAGGCACCCTTTGTGCCAAGCACTGAGTTGGAGAGCCAGGGAAAAGCCGGACAGCTCTGCCCTTGTGAGCTGGCAGTGGGAAAGAGCACACCTTCATAAGTGACTGCAACATAGGACAAGATGTCAGAAACCGCCCCACCCACCCCACCCCCCACCCCCACCCCCCCCACCCCCCGCTCCAAACTCTGTGTCATGGGAAGGCAGAGGCAAGAACAGTCGACCTTGCCTGAGATGATCAGGGAGGGCTTCTAGGAGGAAGAGGAGCCAAAAGGACCTTGAAGGGCTAACATATTTGGTGAACAGCTTGTGTGTCACTGGTGAAAGGGGGAAACAGGTTTAAGGAACACAGAATTTGCAAAACACTGAGACTGCATGTGGCTAAAACATAGAAGATAGTTGGGGTTGAGGTGGGTGGACAGACTGGCAAAAGGGCCAGGACAGACAGCCGTGCACCAAGTTAAGGAGTTTGGATTTACTGGAGGAAGCAAGAGGGAACCATTGGAAATTTTTAAGCTGGGGGATGACATGATCACACTGGGTTAGAGGATATCTGGCAGCTGACATAGTGGCTGGAGGTATGGAATGCAGGAATGGGTGGATGAGGGCAAAAATGAAGAGCTAAGTTTATGATGGATCCTGAATCCAAAAATAGAGGGTTTTCATCCCAACATTCATATACCCAAGAAGAGCCAACTAAGGGCCTGGGGATTTGACAAGGAACTGAGTGCTGGAGGAGCAGAGGCCGGTGCTGTGGCCTGCAACATAAAAGCAGCAGACTGGCTCAGCTCCAGACCTGAGCGTTCCCGTTAACAGGATTTTCTGAGTCTGGTGTGCCCCAACTGTGTGTTTAATTTCAATCTTTTCCTTCTTGTTCAGGTTTTACCGCAGGAGAATAACCTCTCATTCTAATCTGAAATTAATTACATATGTTTATGAACATGCTGGATGCCTGCCTGGTTTATTTATTTTTCGAATAATACATCTGAATAGGCATTCACACAAGACAAGGCAAACATAATTTTGAGGCAAAGGCCCTTTCCAACTGTTGCCTGATTAATTGTTCTAAGCCATTGAGGAGACTTGGCCTTATAGTTCGGAGTCCAAAATCTACCCCTCGCATACTAATGAGATGGCAGGTGCCTGTGTCTGACAGTCAAGATTCGCACTATCCAGCTCCACCACCTGACCCTTACAGCCTTATCTCCTGCTACTATGACTTTCTCCACTCGGCCAAATTCCAGTCATCAACCCTCCAACGCCCAGTTCAAACGTCTACTCTGTGAAGCCATCTCTGGTTCTCTCTCAAGGGGGAGATCCCCTCATGCTTCTGAATTTCCACTTTTGTTTTTATATCCTTCACCAGACGCTAAGCTCCCCAGGACCCGGCACGTAGTAGGTTCCTCAACGCAGCATTTGCTGGAATGGGGAGCGTGGTATCCAGCTTCCCGAAAAGCAGCTAAGCGCGGCAGCCAAAGTGAGGCTCAGCAAAGACCAGACCCACTTTTGGAGTCAGAGTCTACAAAGTGCTCTCGGGGGAAGGGGACCCACGGGGAACGTCGCCCACCGGAGCCGATCCCCCCAAGAATGCTTCACTCGGGCGGGGTTACTGTTTGGGCTCACCCAAAGCACAGGGCACACACTTCACAGGTCCACAAGCCTCCTGAAACGCCTCTGCCTTAGGCCGCCCTTTCTGTTACCTTTAACGCCTCCCATCTGTTATGCGTGTTCCAGTTTCCAACCCGGAGTCAGAACCATCATTTCCAAAGACTCCTACAACAGCTCAGAGACGCATACAAGGCACGGGTTACTTTTCAGACGGGGCATTCACACAATTCAGGGCAAACATAATTTTGAGGCAAAGGCCCTTTCCAACTGGAATTGCGGCTGAGGGTCCAGAGACTCGTTCAAGGTCACTTTTAAGAATTATGAGGCCTATGACTTTGACCCAAGCCTTCCAACTCCCCGGCAGCGCTTCTCCCAAAACTCCCGCAGGTTGTCTGAGCTTCAAAGGAAAAAGTTTAAAAGTGATCCGTACGTCCCAAAGCACGCACAAAGCGTTCTTTTGTGAACTGCGGCATGGGTCACTGATATAAGATTGCTCTAAGGGTTTGAAGACACCCAACAATGCTCCACAGAGGGGCCAGGACGGTACTTTCGAGTTTTCTGCAAAGGCGCTCGTGCCCCGAAAACCGACAATGCCCCTAAACCCGCCAATACCCAGACGCCCCCTGCAGGCAGCGCGCTACAGAAAGCGTTGGCTGTTTCTGGCACGCTGAGGCCACCGTACGGCATCAACAGTGAAGCAACTCGACTAGCGGAGCCTCGCAGCCTGACAGGTGTGATGGGGTGGCCCTCTACCTGTCCCGCCGCGGCGGCTGGCGGCCCGGAGAAGTAGGCTGGCGACATCTGGCGGGCCGCGGGCCGAGGGAGAGGTGGCGGGGCAGTGTCTCCCTCACGTGATCCGAACGGCGCGGAGCCCGTCGCACCGCGCCCCCGCCCCGGGGTCGGTCATGGTCTGCGCCTGCGCGGGCCCCGGCTCGCTCGCCGTCCTCCGGGACGCCGGCGGCGATGGGTGAGTGCGGGGCGGGCGTGGGGAAGCACCGGGCCCCCCTCTTATATGGTTGCAGGGAGGGTAAACGCGCCAAAGGGCCCGTCGTAGCAGCCGGCCGCCCTACGGGCCCAGCCTCGTTTTCTGCGCGCGCCGGCTGCCCTGACCCGGCCGCTGTGGGCCTCGCCCAGGCGGCGCGCGCGGAATCACTTCTGAGCCTCCTCGGCTCCCGGCTCTCCCGCCTACCGCGAGAGAGTGTTTGTCCGGCTTCTGGGCGACCTTTCCCGCGAAGGAGGCTGTGCCTTCACAAGGGTGCGTCTTGGGCTGGGGAGGCACCTCCCTGGTGCGCCGTAACTGCAGGGGCGGGGAGGAGCCGGGCTCTGCCTGCGCCGCGGGGAGAGCGGGGCTGGCACCGCACGAGGGCCCCTGCCTCCCGGGAGACTGGCATTTTGGTCTCCTCACCTCTGGACCCCTGGCTGTGGAGTGTCAGAGACGGAAAACGACTTAGTGATCTTGTTCAACCCCCTCCCCGCTTTTCACAGGTTGGGGAAGTGGACGCCTGGAGAACGGTAAGTTCAGCTACATAGCCTGGCAGTGCTTGTTCTGCGACACCATGTTGCATCGCATTGTAGGAGGGAAGCTCACTTGTATAAGGATTTTCGGAGACGGTGGTGGTGGTGGTGGCGGTGGTGGTGTTATCTCCATCCATTATTTGGTGTTAAGTTTAGCTAGATGGAGTATGTCAGCACCTCAACTTTCTGCATAATCTTTGCTTTGCACCTCACAGGTCTACCTAGCTATCTTCATTCCCACCCTCTGTTTCTCTCTACTTGTAATCTGTGAAACAGAAGCCCTTGAAATGTATAGTGACCTTGCTGTTTTGAGCCTCCTCTGCCCGTGCTTTGAAAGGATTCCGTAGGATCAAAAGCTGCTGGGACTCTTTAGGTCCCATAGTGGTTCAGAGCACAGGATACCGCTTTGGAACTGGAATCACCCTTAGCGCATCTCAGGGGAAAATAAAGTAGGAGTTGACTCATCTGATCTCTCGTTTGGTGGATGAAAGCAAACAAAGATTAGTAGATTTTAAAATCAGATATTGCTTTGTCTTTATGGTGGCAAGATAGTTTCATAACTAGGACTAGACCAAGGCTGATCTTGTTCTGAATGCTGACTCAGACCTGCTGACTAGTGGAAATTCGCATCCTTTGAGAATTGGAATCACCCTCTCCCCAGTTTTTGCAGAGACCTTTGTGCTGGGGTCATATCTGGATCATGCTTATTCATGTAGGCTGTAAATTAAGGTTTTAGACTTTACATTGTTTTCTCAGTCACAGAAGCTTGACACTTGTCGTTGCTTGAAAGTGAAGTTCATTAACTTTGCTTCCTTGTGATGTGATAGATTGTTTTACATAGCAAACAAATGTAAAGTTATGGTAAATAAATTTTGCAATAAATTGCAAAGAATTAGCCACATTAATGAATAAAAATATAAAGATCAGTTTAGCAAAGAAATTTAACCATGTTCATAGTATAGGTAAACATGCAAGATAACTCCATTACCAAAGAATGCTGTGCATATTATGCTTCTGTTGCTAAATTAAGAACATATTCACACCATCCTAGTCTGTAGGATTAAACTAGAGAAAAAGCTTTAAATCTGTGAAATCCAGAGGGTTTCATAACATTTTTTCCCCCATCTAGGGCTAGTTTTTAAATCTGAGAATCTCAATTTACAGTACTGTTCTTAAAATAGTTTGATATGGTGGCCAATAAATGGTTAACTTGTTAGCTGTAGTTTTCTGCTTGTGTAATAATAGTCCCCATTCTCACAGAGTCATAAAGTCACCTTTATTTGCAAAATTTCAGAAAGTAAAACAAGTTCCATTCCAGGAAAAAAAGTGAACATGGACAAAATTTTTATTGTTGTTCAAGTTCACAAATAACTTGGCTTGTATTATCAAGGAGCATATGTAAACAACTTGTAGGTGGTTACTTTAGAATTAAAAATACTTTGTGTGCTTAATATGTAAAAATGGTTTTGACATTCATAAATTGTCACAATATCATGTAATATGTACATTAATCTGGATATTCGTGTTGATTTAACATTGTTCAATTCTGAAACTGAAGAAGTACAAAGCATTACATAGGTACATAGGTATCAAACATTTTTGCACTAAGTTTTAGTACTTAAAATATTGATTGTAAGTGTATACTAAGAGTTTTTAACTCATACCTATCAGCTGAAATAGTAAAAAGTAAGGATGTAGTAGACCAGTAATCATCAAACTTAATAGCCTGACAAACTTTAGTGTCTAGAATATATTTTAAAGTTAATCATATTAAACTCCAAACCTCAGTACATTAAGAAAGGGAGAGAGAAGAGGGAATGGATGATATTCTGGAACCTTTTTTATTCCTTTTAATCCTATTTTTATTGTGAATAGCAACACAGAACTGACTTACTGAATATTTTGGGACACTTACAAGCAGGTAGAGTTGAGATGAAATGCTGACTCTCTTAAAAAGTAGTAGTAAGGGTTTTGCTCAAAGGAAAGTACATAGCCTTAAACAGTCAGGTTAAGAAACAATGAATAGGCTGGGTGTGGTGGCTCTCACCTGTAATCCTAGCACTTTGGGAGGCCAAGGCTGGTGGATCACATGAGTTCAGGAGTTCAAGACCAGCCTGGCCAACATGGTGAAACCCTGTCTCTAAAAAAGAAAGAGTAAAAATAATTGTCTCTAACCTGTGTACTTACGTTCCCCTTTTTTTTTTTTGAGCAGGGTTATCAGTTTATCTAATTTAACCTTCCCTCTCCTAGCAAAGAAGCAGCTTGTGAATTACCAATTTTACTTTTTTTTTTTTTTTTTTGAGACGGAATTTCGCTCTTGTTACCCAGGCTGGAGTGCAATGGCACAGTCTCAACTCACCACAACATCCACCTCCTGGGCTCAGGCAATTCTCCTGCCTCAGCCTCCTGAGCAGCTGGGATTACAGGCACGCGCCACCATGCCCAGCTAATTTTTTGTATTTTTAGTAGAGACGGGGTTTCACCATGTTGACCAGGATGGTCTCGATCTTTTGACCTCGTGATCCACCCACCTCGGCCTCCCAAATTGCTGGGATTAAAGGCTTGAGCACACCGCGCCCGGCCTATTTTTTTTTTTAAGAATTACAAGAAAATGGCTGGGCACAGTGGCTCACACCTGTAATTCCAGCTTTTTGGGAGGCTGAGGTGAGCGGTTCACCTGAGGTCAGGAATTCAAGACCAGTTTGACCAACGTGGAGAAACCCCATCTCTACTAAAAATACAAAACTAGCCGGGTGTGGTGGCGCATGCCTGTAATCCCAGCTACTCAGGAGGCTGAGGCAGGAGAATTGCTTGAACCCGGGAGGTGGAGGTTGCAGTGAGATGAGATCACGCCACTGCATTCCAACCTGGGTGACAGAACAAGACTCCATCTCAAAAATTTAAAAAAATAAATAGTAAAATTGGTAATTCATAAGCTACTTCTTTGCTAAGAGCAGGAAGGTTATAAATTAGATAAACTGATAACCCTGCTCAAAAAAAAAAAAGGGGAACGTGAGTACACAGGCTAGAAACAATTTTTTAAAACAGCAAGTGTTGGATAGGGGCAGTGGCTTGTAATCCCAGCACTTTGGGAAGCCAAAGCAGAAGGATCACTTGAGCCCAGAAGTTCAAGACCAGCCTAGGCAACATAGTGAAGCCCTTTCTGCACTAAAAAAAAATGCTTTTGAAAAGTTAGCCAAGCATGGTGGCATGTGCCTGTGGTCCTAACCACTCAGGAGACTGAGGCCCCAGGGGGCCCAGGCTGCAGTGAGCCATGATCATACCACTGTACTCCAGACTGGGTAACAGAGCAAGACCCTGTCTTTTTTGTTGTTGATGTAGAGACAGAGTCTCACTCTGTCACCCAGGCTAGGGTGCAGTAGCATGATCAAGGCTCACTCCAACCTCCGCCTCCTGGGTTCAAGCAGTTCTCCTGTCTCAGTCTCCTAAGTATCTGAGACTATAGGCACGTGCCAGCATGCCTGACTAATGTTTTGTATTTTTAGTGGAGATGGGGTTTCACCGTGTTAGCCAGCATCATCTCAACCTCCTCACCTCATGATCCGCCCACCTCAGCCTCGCAGAGTACAGATTACAGGCGTGTGCCACCGTGCCCGTCCAAGACCCTGTCTTTTAAAATAAAAATAGGCTACACGCAGTAGCTCATGCCTGTAATCCCAACACGTTGGGAGGCCAAGGTGGGAGGAATACTTGAGCCCAGGAGTTTGAGACCACCCTG